AGTGGCGATGGGCAGGCACTTTCTCTGCAACTGGAGTGCATGCACCGTGTGCCGCTCGGATGTAGCGGATAGTCGGTGCGCGCAAGAAATCGCGAGCAACGAAAGTGGTTGCACCGCCGATCTCGAGGAGAGGGGAGAATCGACCGCGGGAATCCTACTGTACAAGGGGGAAGTCGGCGTACATACCGTCTCCCTCCCCTCGCTACCCCCTCCTCCGCTCCCTCTCTCTCTCTCTCTCTCTCTGTCTGTCTCTCTGTCTGTCTCTCACTCTGTCTCTCACTCTGTCTCTCACTCTGTCTCTCTCCCTGTGTCTGTACCTTTCCACCCCGACCGCCCTCCCCCCTTCCCTACCACCGCGAATCTCGGCTCGTTCCCCCCCACCAGGAGCCGCCTGTGTCGCGTGTCCCACCTCCCACTCCACCTACCAGAACGCGCGCACTCACGCACACACCGAACATAAGGAGGAGAACGAACGCCCATGCGCGCAAGCGAACGAAGGAGACAGAGATAGATAGAGAGAGAAGGAGAGAGAGATAGATAGAGAGAGAAGGAGAGAGAGAGAGAGAGAGAGTGAGACTCTCTCGCTCGCTCCCTCGGCTCCCGACTGTCCGCTACCACGCACACATGCGCGCGCGCGCGCCTCCTCCTCCTCACCTGTTGGAGCAGCGGCGCCCGCCAGTTCCGCGACGTTTTCGCAGCCGCCACGTCCTCCTGTCCTTTCCCAGGCGACGATGCGCCCGCGCGCGAGATAACCGATCGACCTGTGCGCCCGAGAGGAGCGACCGTTCCGGTGGTGAATTCGTGACGCCGTAGTGACCGGTGAGCGGACCTCCATCGACATCACCACGATTATTCAGCACGAGCCGCACCACGAGACCTTCACGCTGCCGTCCTTAGCCAAGGTAAGAGCTGCAGCAGCTCTCAGGGGGCAGATCTGTCCCGCGCGTGCCCCTTCCACATCCTCCTGTCATCCTCGACGAGATACGATACGAGTAGCCGCCTCTGCCTCGTCACGCTTCCCACTCACAATAATATCGGCACTTAGGCTAATCTCGCCAAGACGAGAGTGCCGGAGGTAAACATTCGTTGCCGTTTATGAGATTCTGCACCATTGGCTGTGTAAGATTCACTAGCTGACTATTTTAGCCGGAGTGTAGTCTGTCGGGACCGGGATCTACGACGACACCTCCATTCCAATTGGCTGCTCGATTATGTATGAAACGCGCAAAAATCGTCGGCCAAAAATTTCGTGTGCATGACAGGCATCCGAGATGCATGCATTTGTGCAGCGATCGGTGCTTCCACGAGTTCATTTCGAAAGTAATTGTTATTTAATGCTCGTTGCATTATCAAAGTGCAACTTTAATGCGAGGAGAGGGCTAGCGGCCTGCTGTATATATTACGATCTCGGTAACCGAGAACTTAATTAGCAAAGGTTAAGTTCATTAGGTGATTGTCGTAACATTTTATTTTTTGAGCCCGCAAATTTTCAATCTCGATCAAGTTTGAGCATTGCCAGCGGCTGATTGATCGGTCACTGCTCAGCGCTCGATTATTAAAATGCTTTCAAGAACAAGAGAAGCGTACATAGAGCGTGTGTCGCGCTTAATTACCAAAGTACTTCGATCCATTTGTATATAAATATTGCGTGCAGTGCAATGAAAATTTTTATTCGAAGACCGCATATTGTCATACGAATACAAAATCTAGTGTAAATGAAAGGTATATAAATAAGCGCGCGTATTTTTTTTTTTTTGCTCTCTCTCTCTCTCTCTCTCTCTCTCTCTCACTCACTCAATCTGTTTCCGTGCGTGTGTGCGCGCACGCGCCATATGTCAATTTTATTTGAATTCTCCGTGGAATAGATCGTGAAATACGATGGAATAGTGGTTTTTTAAGGAACGTAATGTGATGTGGTGAAAAAAAGGCCACAGCTCGTAAAAAATTTAACTTGGTCGCGCGACCCTCGTCCCGGCGACGGTCTCAAAAATCTGGCTTCGTATTGTACAAAGAGATGGGAATGGGGATAAATAGGGAAATTTTCAAAGTGGATAATAATTCGACGCCAACGAGTGCGGATCGACGCGCGAACAACGGTTCTCCCACAAAACGGCCCATAAATTTCTAATGGCGCATGAAATAACAATTCCAAGGTCAATAACGGACTTTTATTTTGCGCCGATGGGACGACGTCATTAAGCGCTACGAGCAGCCAGCCATGCTCGAAGGAATGTTGCGGGAGTCGTGTGGCAGTTACTATCCCCGGGATTAATAAGCATAAAGCGAAGCCAAGCGCTGGATGATCGAGCTAATTTTGCTATAAAAGCCGATGGCAGGGGCGCAGAGACAATAAAAAGATCATTAATCCGGCCGATGGAAGGACGAGCGCGAGTGTAACGACGATCCCGGGTAAACACCTTCGTCGAGCGCGGACGAGGGACGTCAGCGGCATCCGGAAAATGGGAAAGTAATGGCTAGAGTCGGACGACCGCTTGATTGCACCTCGCACACAATGTAAGTGGCCCATTAATGGGTCCGGGGCAATAAGTGCACACGGGCCCGTAATCCTTCATCTCACCACCGAGTCCGTGGAGATGAAAGGGTGAGCTTTTCCATGAGGCCACCCTCGGCTCTGCCCTTCGGGATCGGCGCTGCACCCCTCTAACCGGCCCCATTCGCGTGGATCCACAGGTACTTTCGCGGTATTGGCTTTTTAAAATTAATTCTCATCGTACTTGTACTGGCCGGCGACATTATAATTAGCCTGTCCCGGGCCGTAATGATCCTTTCCAATGTATAGCCCATGAATAATGCAGGAGAATCCCAATACATAGCGATAAAGGGTATCGCACGAACGAAAAGTGCCGAGATCCGCATGCACTCACACGTGAAAATTAACAGTGACGATTCGAGTGAAGCTCGCCTGAGTTATCGCCGCTCCCTTCACCTACATCGACCATTATTATTCTTCGATAAAACAGCGCCATAACGCCTGCGATTGTTTACATTAATTCCTTTCATTAATGGTAAAGGCGTTGTTTGCTACTCGATCGCTACTCGTCGCTACATTAGCAGTGTAATCAACCGATGCAAAGCCTCCTCCTACCTCTTCAATTACTTTAATTATCATCCACACCTTCGATAATTTCACCTGTCAAAGCAGCAATGATATTTATTATGGTGTAGGGCTAATTATAAACGTCCACTCGGATATAGTTAAAATAGTTGTCCCGTAGGAAACAATTCGACGCTTTATCTTCATTAAATATAATAGAATTGAAGTTGTCCATGCTAAGCGCGTGTGATGCAGCTAATATACATCCATGCGTGGGGCGTGAGGCGGGCGGTCGGAGACGGCGTCGGGGGGGGGGATAGTCTCTTAGTTAAAAATTTACCGCTCAACTTGCCCGAACATCTGTAGCCATTGCTCTTTGAGTGAAAATTGTATCGATACACGAACGCCCACAACATATATTTACTGTCCTTCCTCGACATCAACAAAGGACTCCATTAATACCACACAGTCCGCCCGTATAAACGCTGCTTGGGTAATAAACAGAAAATTCAAATAGTAAAACGACATGATGCTTGGGACATTCTTCAAAAACGTTGTATAACAAGGTAACCCCATCTCAAAATCATTGTTTACTTAAGGCGATTGAATCATTTATTTAGCCGCTAAGCGAAACCTCTATAAATTACACTAACATAAATATTAAATAAATCGTACGTGCGTACTCTCGCTCGACTCGTGTCGGCATAATTTCCAATTATAATATAGAAAATGTATTATACATTTATACATCACGCCTAAGTAATACTTCGAAGCATTTATAATGAATTTTTAAATAGGAGTAAAAAATTCTTTTCGCCAAAGAAGCCATAAAAAAAATTTCTCGCCGACCGTGAATAAGATTGTAAAAGTATTTTATGTTTGACGTAATTAGTTAATAGGACGTGCAATACTTATATTTACCTGTGAACGCGCCCCACCACATCGTACATCCTACATCAATAAAGGAATCGACTTAAATATTTACTTTGATTTATATGAAATCACGCTAATGTCACCTTTCGCCTAGTAATAATCAATGACTGCATATAATTTCAAGCCAATACTTTAATGATTAAAATATAATAGTGAAAACATTTTTATCTAACCTTATACATATATATATATATATATATATATATATATATATATATATATATATATATATTTATTTATTTATTTAATTATAAATAATAGTTGCTAGGAAGGTAATAATCTTTAGTTTTTACATAAATCGGAATAATTTTATAATTTAGGACGCATTAGTCGATACATATCGATATGACAGATCGAATGATAAAGGTCGGTATTACGCAACCCCTTGATATAAATTCATTGAAAAATATTGCTTCACGAGTTAAGTAAAGACTACAATTTTTCTATCGTTTCAAATCTATCTACTATTACGCAACAATTTCTGTAATTAATTACTGTCCTTTTTTTTTCTCTTCTGATTTTTTTTTTTTTTTTTTTTTTTTTTTTTTTTTTTTTTTAATAATTTATTCAATGATAAATTTTTTCATAAGCGACAGTGCTTTTAAAACACCGACGAAAACCACATTTTTCATCCGAAAGGTGATTTCGCAGACGCCATATTATTAATATCAGTATTTTACAATAAATTACTTATTAAATATTTAGTAGCAAGTGTTAAACATAATATTAAAAAATTCTTTTATTAATATCAATTGCACAATATCTGATTAGTATACAAATTTATAAATTTTAATTACAATCTTATCGAGATTTAGCCTACAATTTATTTTTAATCATAAGTAAATAATTTATTGCATCATAAAATTGAATTCCATATTTAATATAATATAATTTCAATGCTTCGACTTGTTCATAAAGTATTATAGAAATAGTAAAATTTTAAATACTTAAAACTCATCAGATCGTGATAGTGATTAAACAATATATTCAAATAACTAACTAATTGCGCATGAAAATTCTATAGTTTATTGAAATAGAAAAATCAATGATTTTTTATTAAATTTGTAAAAGCTAATTTTTATTGCAGCTACTGAATAACTAAAAACGATGACGGAATAAAGCCTATCGTGAAAAAATTATTACATATTTGAACTTATAGATAGACATATAAGTAGATAGAAATAATTAGTCGATAATTTATTAGAATCCATGTAAGTGAATGTAAACAGATGCGCGAATGCGCATTAGTATATATACATATGTGTTTTTGTGTTTGTGTGCGTGTGTGCGTGTGCGCGTGTGTGTGTGTGTGTGTGTGTGTGCGTGTGCGTGTGCGTGCGTTTACGCATGCGGATGCACGCGCGTGGATGCTTGTAAAAGTATCAAATTTAAATGGTGTTTGTATATAATATTACAACATCGTATTCTTTAGTAAGATTTAAGGAGTATTGACACTTTCTAAAATAAGAAGTTGTTTTACTTATTTAAATAATTTACTTACCTAAATAAATATTATTATTTTATTATAATAATTAAATTGAAAAATTGTGTATTGGATATGTTGAAAATTTAATCAAATTTTCAACCGAGAAGCATTCTTATCTTTACTGAATCATTATCGTATTATTCCACATACACACGCACAGCCAGACAGGCGCGCGCGCGTACTGGCACCTTTCACGTATGTGTATTTATTTATATATGCATCTATCCATGCACATGTGTACGTATGAAATTGTATATGTAATTTATTTTTCGTTGTTTTGGTCCTAAGGTATCAATAAAGGATAACCATTCGTTTGTTATATGAAAATAAATGACCAATTTTTGAATCATTATAGATGAAAAAAAGGAAATTCAATAGATTCCCATAGTATACATTTAAAATAAATTTCATATGAAATTCAATACTTT